AGGAAAGAAAGAGAAAGGAAAGGCGTTCTATCAACTTTTGTCCTGTGGTTTCTACACATGCTGATTCTAAACAGCTGACTGGCAATGACCACAGAGATTCCTACCTGCGCTGCTACCATTCCTTCGCGAAGTCTGAGCAAATCGGTGTGAGACCAAGAGCTGCGGGACCATGGAGACATTTCCCGTAGGTCTTCCGCAAACCGGAAATTTACGAGCTGATTCTTTATGAATTTCCGGATGTTCCAGGGAAGATCGTTGTGTCTTGAAAAAGAAGAAACACAATTTGTTATTGAGCTGGTACCTTGAATGGAGAATATTCGTCTGTAGTTGACATGCGTGACAATAAAACGAACGCTCTGCGGGGGAAAATCGCGTCATTCCATCCGTTGAAAGACGAGTAGAAGTTATGCAAGTTTATCTGGAAATCCTGTAATCGTGGAAAATATGTTTACTACTTTACACTTTGATTACGAAGCTGTATTCTGGTATGTGACGCCCTGATGTTGGAGGCAGGAGGCACCACTAAAATTGTGGTGAACGTCTACCAGTTTACATGGTGCAGCATATCAGGAGACAGCAATCTTCATACTCGCCGCAATAAGAATTTGATATCTCACCAGGTTTGACTTTCCTACAATCGTGTCGCAGCCACTGGTTGCCTATTACTGCTCCTGAAGGCATTCCTATGAACAACACTTCTCAGGTTCCCCTATACGATCTAAAATAAGTCGATTAAGTAAAGTTTTCTATTGTTTTCAATAGTAAAGAAGGGGCACAGGAAATTAAAGAGAATATCTGTGCCTTTCTGTCCTCTGTCGTGCGTCAGTTGTCATCAGCAAAGACGGCCTGCTGCTTGCGATGGTCACTAGGTGTGGTTTCTCCTGGGGCCAATTGACCTGCCAGCCGACCTCTCTCTACATCGGCAAATCCCTTTCCTAAGTCAGGCCTACTTGTAAACTACAGGCATCCTAAAAATATGTATACACAGTGTTAACGTATGTAATAGTTGTGTGTATACAAACTTTTGGGGCATTCTGTATATATTCACGAATGTTTGATATTTGCAAGCGTGAATCTTCTCACGTCCGTTTACATGCCATCATGATCCTGTGTTAGTTACGTCAATAAATTATCTAAATGTCTCTTACTCATTCCGTAACACAAAGATCTTGAATACAATTCCGATGAGTCGCTGCTGTTTGGATAATTAATAATGTTGTATACATATCTGGACCCAAGAAATACGAATGGAGAGTACACGATAATCGATTTACTCGTCGCCATGATTTTGGAGGTAACAACCACCACTGAAACGTCGCTAAACTTCTACCACAGTACAACTCTGAAAAGCACACTATCTTCTTTGTAAATACTTGTTAGAATTTTTCTTCCTTCGAAGGTCAGCTGCTCAAGAAAATTTTCGCTTCTATGCAACCCATCATTCGATCCTATACTATACTAGGCGACTCCAGTTTCCACCATCACACGCTGTTTCTACAAGACCGATTTTCACATCTTCTTCCAATCTTCACCTTGTTTTACCTCGGTTTCCAAGTGGCATTATATTTTGAACCTATCACACAAAAACTTCGGCTACAGTGGTGAAAATTAAATTGGCAGACACTGTCCCTTCTCAGTTTGTTGGGGCTTCATTTTTTCTTCATCTGTACCGTCTACACATCCCGACATCGCAATGAAACTGACTGTCGCTTTCCTCACTTAGAAAGGAACCCTAGAGTGAGTTCTAGGTGGTAGCCTATGGAAGTAGAGCCAACTATTCAGCTGTCGACAATATTGAACAATGAATAACCAGCCATCTCTAGTGGTTTAACTTGATATTGGAAACGAATTCGTTATATTCCCTCACCAGGATCACGACAGCTTAATGGGATACCTGACCAATATATTATATCTGAGTATGACTGAGAGTTTTATACATGGAACATGAGAGTCCTGGCGTTAGTGATCGGAGTACAAATGCGTTTCTCTCTTTTCCTACATTACGTTGTTTGGTGGATGTTGATGCATAAAACTTATAAACCCGGACCTCACTTAAAAGGGACTGTGTACAAAAGTGTCTTAAATTATTAACCTACAACGTTACTGAACTTATATTCATGTTCTGGTTTCGACTCTAGAATGATACATGCAGAGAGGAAAATAAATAAACAGAAACAGAATCAACGAACTCGAGAAAGAGCAGAAAATAGACACAGACAAGTAGATTGATACATACATATATACGTTACATACACATACATAAAGGGACTGATACACAAACAGATACATATATTATACAGGCCTACATGCAGAGAGAACATCAGATAAATCTACAGATACACACATACACGCATGCATGAATAGATGCTCATACGTACATGGATAGATAGATAGATAGATAGATAGATAGATAGATAGATAGATAGATAGAGAAATGTTAAGTAAAAGATGACACAAATTATGTTTGACAACGTTTTTACGAAAGAATGAGAAATAGACGGTACAACGGGTTTTTAAATAAGACCCATATAATATAAATCGTACCACAACTTTTTATAGCACAGAGTAACGTTGCTGTTATGATTCACTTATTTGAAATGAACACTTGGCAGCCTAGTGATTCGTATTCGCAAGTGTCTTCACGCCTGTCTTAAGGGAAGTTAAGTTTAGCTAAAGCAGAAGACTCAGAAGGTTAGGCGAAACTTACAAATCGTTTCATTTCTTCTTTTATATGGCGAAAACGATTATAATAAGCACACTCAACAGGATAATAAAAGTAGGTGAACAATAGCTTTACTCATAGGACGTAGAAAGAACGGACGATGAGTTTCTTAACGTACCTACTAAAAGTTTCAACAAGTTAAAGCATGACTTAAATTATACAAGCATGGGCCGTCAATTTTGACAGTGACAAATGAGATTTTGCATAATGGATTATATTCTTGCATTACGTTTTACTAGTTTACCAAATGTTCTCTGTAAAATATTTCTTTTCATATTTTGCATACAGTAACTTTTAGTCTCTTCACTGTTGACTCAATGTGGAAGCATCAAGCTTCAAGCTCTTATTAACCTTCATTTTAGAAAATGATTAAGTTCGATTTGAAATTTGTGTAAATTTAAGGCTATGTTGGAATCCCAATAAGAAATTTAATCGATATTCACCGAACAGTTACCAGGATAACACAGGCGTACATACAGAAACAACTTCAGAACTGTGCGTTTATTTTAGATACAATTCATCTTGAAATATTTCAATTCAGTACACACCTTATTTAATTCTGACTGATTTTAATAATATTCTCTGATCTACGGTAACGTCTCTTGAAGTGGCTTAAGATTTCCGGGCCTAAAATTGTGCGTGTATTTCGCATATGTCCCATGCATGTTATGCGACGGGCCAAACTCATCCCCTTCCATTCTATTGGCCTAATATTTGACGACAAGTGCACATTCTCATTCTTGCGTAATTTTACCAAGACATCTATCACTTCCTGTCCCAAACAGTCCAAATATTTCCCTCAGCAATTTGTTCTACAGCATCCTTCTTATCTAAGTTATTCTATAAAGATGAGGGACCAAGCTTTACAACTTCTTAAATCAACAAACAAAATTACTGTTCTTTGTGCCCTGATATAATTATCACATTTTTAAACAAGAGACAGGAAGATCAAATAATCAGACCCTTTGGAAACAAATGAATAAAAGTACAACGATAAATTACAAAGTTTAGTTTTACGTCACACAACTGTCGACATACTAAGAAAAATTGGAAATAAACATTTACCTGCCTCTAAGATTTCCCTGGAGTCTGTTTGCGTCTTTACCAACAAGAATCTTCTTTCTTTGGCTCTTAGCCTGATTGTTTTACACCGCGTCGTCCCAAATTATTATGTGAACGAAGGCCTAACACCCAGCCATAATAAATCTGCTTCCGGTAATGTACCTAATCTCTTAATTAAGATGTTTACTAAACGCCTTCTTGCTTTTCCTGACCTCACAATGAACTTTGAATAGTTTCTGCGCGCCCAAATATCGATTTACAATAACACTATTTTGCTTCTCTAAGCCACCGCAAGACTCCAGGTTTTATAACTATCTGAACATTTATTTTTTTTGCGGTAAACTAGGATCCGTGTCCTGCCACCGGAAACACATCCCGCCCATCTGAAGCTGCCATCTTTCTTAAACGTATGATAGTCACCACGATCCGTTGATAACAGACTGAGAGAATGGAGACGCGCATTATTTGATGTTTTGGTTGTTATGACAACATACTCACGTGAAACTCAGAAACAGGATAGCCTCACTATGAGGCCACAATATTCTCATCCAGCCTCCATACATGGCAACCAAGTATGGATTTCTTTCTCCTGGATTTATTTGTGTGTTCGTAATTTAATTAACGAAACAGTAACTAAGAATATATAACATCGAAGGACATGAGGATTAATGAAGAAGGAATCGGAAAGGTTATCGAAGGTAATGTTCGCGGCCATCGTAGTACATGAGGATTAATGAAGATGGAATCGAAAAGGTTATCGAAGGTAATGTTCGCGGCTTCATTTAAGGCAGTATGACAAAATTTCCCGGGTAGACTGTAGAAAAGCATGAGTACCCGGTCTCCGGCCTAAAATTTTGAACCAGGACATCCTGTTTACGCAGCAGGGGAGATGATAAATCGGCTGAGACATTCGGTTTTTGCCTCTTAGAAAAAAGAAAAGATAAAATCTTTTCCAGTCACTGATGTTTCTCCGAAAATTCTGAAATCTGTGCCTGCGCAAACGTTTATGACAAAAAATTAAGTTTTGCAAGACACACACCGTTCAGTGCTACAGAACTCTTTAAAACAAGGGTGAATCGAAATATTAGACTTTGCCATAATTTGAAACGTGTCTCCGTTCACTGAGCATTGACATCACTTCATTTAACAGCGCAGAACTTTATGAGTCGATTTAGGAAGTATTAACGTTTCTCCTTTCCTGATGAATCTATTCAATAAAAGATATTACAGTATCTGCGCAATATAGAAGTGACAACCGTCCTGTTATGTTTAAAAGTTCGACCGCTTTATTCAAACTGACTAACTGAGCTTTTTATTATCACAACGGATTATAAATTCAATGCCTGTACCAGCCTCAAAATACTCGTTTCAAGGTCTCCTTGAACTTCCTATTACTTATCATGCGGTGGCTTTATAGCTCTACGTTTCCTTAAGCTACGTGTCCTCACCATTGAACCTAGAGAGCTTTCTAT